GCTTTGAAACACCCTGGACCAGGAGAAAAACTCTCAGAGAGGAAGAAGAGCAATGCAATGAAGAGAAAGGCCTTTAAAATCATTTTGATAATCATGACTTACATGGCCATTGGATTCTCTTCCTATCTGGCTGTAATTCCACTCCAATGTTGCTTTGATGATTTATTTCTTTCCACTGCGCTCGCCATTTCATCAAGCATAATTTTGTTCAGTGGGTTTGTTCAGCCTTTTCTCTACCTCCACAGGAACGGAAAACTTAGCTGCTTTGGGAAGCTCTAACTACCATTGTAACTGTCAACATGCCTTTTTATATTTACATGCATGCGTCTGTTCTGTATACTGACCTATGATAACATGTTGGATTGAAACAACTGAACTAACAGGTAGTGCTAATCCCTTGAAAACAGCAGAAGTTGTTTGATTGTTCTGACCTTTCTTTTTTTCTTTGAAGTAATCTTTGCTTGTTTGTGACAGAATAAATGATATAATAAATGTTATACATCCTTAGTAAGTTTCTACTGCTTAATTTGTTTGAGTAATGTGCGATCGTGGAAGCTTTTGATGTGAGTGAGTGACTGCATGAATTTGAGAATTATTTGCATGTTAAGTTGGCAGATGTTGTGCAAGAGATACATGCATTTACATCTGATTAGATCATTCAGCATGGTGTGCAAATAGGACAAGAATAGCTGTGGTTTGTATTTATTTCTGTGAAACAATTTGATTAGTAAAATAAATGGAATCAAATTAAATTACGTTTTACATTTAGTTTAATTGCACATTCAGTTATCGCAGTGAATCTTGTTTGCATTCTTGACCCTGAAAGGAGTTTTTGAACTTAAGTGTAATGGACAACTAACTGATTTGGATCCTTTAACCCCATTTCACCATCCCCAAACAAGTGGAAAGACTACTTTCAATTATTTCCCTTTCTGATACCAAGTTTTCATAACCCAAACAATGTTAAAAACATCACATCAGCATCACAGCATAATGTGTGAAAGTAAATGTTCATATCCGCCATCACAATCTGGTTTATGTAGTGACTCAGACTAATGACAATAACACGTTTCTCATTGATGCAATGCAAATTTGTCATGTATTGTATTGGCCTCAGTTACTTCTCCAATTATTATTTCTTCTCATTTGCATGTGCTCTAACACACCCAAGAAAGACAACCCCATGTGTGTTATTTCCCACAAGGTGGCACTGTTTCCCTCTTTTGTTGGTTTGACATCTGCAGCTTTTTACTACAGAAAGTTTTCCAAATGACTCTCCTTGTTGAGAAGATGTTTGAAGGCCATCCAAAAGGAAAAAGTGACCATGAGTCTGATCCCTTTGGTAAAAATACAATATCTATGCATTATCTACACACCGCTAAATCCTCACTAGGGTCGCAGAGGGGCTGGAGTCTATCCCAGCCGGCTTAGGGCGAAGGCAGGGAACACCCTGGACAGATCACCAGTCCATCACAGGGCCACACTTAGAGACAGACAACCAAGCACACTCACATTCACACCTACGGACAATTTAGAATCACCAATGAACCTCAACATGTTTTTGGACCTTGTGGGAGGAAGCCGGAGAACCCGGAGAGAACCCACGCTGCACGGGGAGAACATGCAAACTCCACACAGAAAGATCCTGGGTGTCCTCACTGGGACGCGAACCAGCGACCGTCTTAATGCTAGGCAACAGTGCAAACCACCGAGCCACCTTGCAGCCCAAAAAAATACAATATTTAGAACGTTATAGAATGTGACCTTTAATTAATAACAGCGACTATCAAAATACAGCAAAAGGTAGCAATGAAAACATCTTTTATTGTACCGTCATTGGCTGTCGTTGGATTAATTATCACACATGTGGGACAGAATTTTCAGTCCTGAAATCATAAACTCTGGATGTGCTCCCCTTCAAATAGTCCATGCACACCAGATAATAGCAACCATCACTGGAAAATAAGGAGCTGAGGTACATCAGTGACTAATTTCTTAACTCCCATATTAACAGTTTTTAAATAGCCTCGGTTATGGCTTTTGATTTATGTGTGCCACCTCAAGGCTATCTTATCACCCCTATGAAAAATTTCTACACCTGCAGGTAAAAGCATGAACTGTATTTCCATGCATGTTTAAAATCTATCAAACACAGCAGATATCAAGGGAAGACACTCAGACTTTTATCTACAGCTCTGTTGTCATATAGTCTCACCTTTAGTGATGCGTTAAGAAGGGAACTCCTGCTTGTCCTTAACCAGTTGCAGGCCATTCCACTCAAGGGCGGAACTCAAAGTCTGCACATTCCTGTTTGATTGTAATCAGGAGCCACTGCAGAACAAAAATGTCCAGAAAAGTCTGTTTTATCTATAATCTAGAATATTTCTCCTAGTGGCTTACAATACTTAAACCTGCCCCATTAGTGTACATGCAAAGTTTTCTGTGACTATTGACAGTCCCACTGAAAGGCAAATGTAACAGTCAGTGGCGGCTGGTTAATACAGGGAGAACAATCAAATGGAAATAGTGAAAGTTCAATCATATTTAATTCTGCTGTGTATTTGGATTGAGGCCTACAGTTCAGAACTTGAGTGTTACTGAGTGTCAAGTCATTTTTGGTCACCTATCAGAGCACACCGCAGCCACCAAGCAGCAACTCCCGCAGCCTGCTATGTGGGGCGTTCAGGGAGCATCAGTAAATGGTCTATCGATAAGAAAATCTTCAGCAAGTCATATGTTTTACCTATGACCAGGTGGGACGTGTAACAAAATGAAAAAGTGGGTCGCACCGGGGCTACCAGTGAAAAAGTTCATCTGGAGTCCTGAATAGTGTTTTTTTCATTATTTATGTGTTTAGAGTTTGTACAGATCCCGTAAATACTGATGAAAGTTTGATGAATGGTTTTGAAATTTAGTTCTGGTCAGTCTTGATCATGTTAAATTAGATTATGACTAGAATATCCTCCAAAGGTAGACAATTTGCATTCCTGCAAATCGCTGTGCCTGATGTTACTCATATTCTAATTTTAAATAAAAGGTCATTTGCATTCCTGCGCCCCCCCAAACAAAAAGCTTCACCAGCCGCCACTGATAACAGTTATCAGATTTTTCTCCTGTCTAAAACTTGCTGATGTCAATAATGAACAAAATGAGAGTCGTGAATTATTTGACATTTATTTTTAACAACATGTGCTCTGAGCGTAAAGAGAACTTTGTATTCCTTCATAACTTTCAAAAACAACCATAACCATCAGGCCTATTGTGTTTACTGACTAACACACCATTAATACAACAACTATCAACACCAGCAGAGCGCCCAGCACTGCAGCCACGAAACACTTCTGCTGCTGTTTAACAAGGACAAAAGCACTTATCAGCAAGATCACACAGGCCGACATCATCACAACCCTGCTTCCCTGCCAGTGCGTTGAATCAGTTTCAAAATATGAATCTATGAGCTTTTCATTTACTTTACAGTTGAGAACTGTCCTCGGTGCTTTGGTGCTCTGCAGCTTATAGACCACGCCGCACCATGGATCATTGGTGACGACATCTGTGACTTTGAACACCTCGTAGGTCGGAATCAGCACCTGTCCTCTCTGGCTCACGCCGGAGTAATATGTGATGTCAGCACCGAGGCACGTGTTGATCTCAAAACAGGAAACATTCCTGCCGAACCCAGCTGAGCTCTTGCTCGAAGTCGTCCACATGAAAACGCCAAATCGCATGTCGGTGTTGACGACGTTTTGCTTGAACTTTTTCCACGTCCTGTGATAGGTGGTTCTGCACTGAGTCTGGCTCTGGCGCAGAACCTGAATGGCGTTCGTCAAGTAGAAATAGAAGTAGTGAAACTTGAATTTATCCGTGCTGTACTTTTGTTTCCCTCTTTTCACTGCTTTGTTGAACTCGTCTCGGATGAATTTCACTTTGGTGTACAGGTACAAAACTGTTGCATGGTCTTCTTTCAGGTCCTTGTGCGCAGGTTTCTTTGCGTGTCTTTCGGCGAAAGCCCAGGCAAAACTGAAGTTTCTGTTGAAGTGCCACTCGAACACACCGTAGAGGTCGATCACAGAGGCCGTTTTCGATTGGCAGCCATCGTACATGTCATCAATGGATTCTGTGGCCATATCCAGAGGTAACGCGACCGTCTGCTGTCGTTACAGATAAGACAGTGAGCAAATTCAGTATGTGTGTAAAAAAAATCCAATCCTGAAGAAATCTGATGAGCGAACTGCACATGTTTATATAAAATCCACCCACCTCAGATGGTCTCTGAGGCCACCAGAGTATTAGAAATGGGTCAGCATACAGTAGCAGCACCACGCCCAACAACGCACAAAGGGCTGCCCAGCTTCTCAGTGATTTCCACTCGCACGATGTTTTTTCGGAAAACGTCATATCTGAATGAAAAAAGTACAAAGTGTCACGGACAAAGATCAGATTTGGTTTGTTTTTACTTGCAGATCAAACATGCAAAGAAGAAAGAACTGTAAACCATGATCAAGAATGAAGCAGTATCACCCTGATCCTTCAGTAAACATTCTTATATGCTATAGCGGGAGTATGAAAATCTGAATGTTTTGGCTTACCTCTCTCCTGCCAATAGCTTCTAACAGTGGCATGACATTCCTCTGAAAGAAACGTGAAGAGTGAAGTGTCGTTTGCCAGCAAAGAAGCTCCACATTACAGGATTTACAGGTCAAACCGCACGGCTCACACGTTCTTTTACTACCTTCGCTCAACAGTGCCACAGCTAATATGGACCTTTTCATGCATATGATGTCTGCACGGTATTTACTGTTTGATGCAAAACTACTTGGCAGTCACCGAAAGCGCTTGTGCAGTTTTATTTCCCCCTCTCATGTTCACACGCCGTGTGTTTATCAAGTGTGCTCCACACTGGCTTTGTCATGTCACTGTTTACAATGCCAGAGGGAGGTGCTACGTGTGGTAATGCTGGCAAATCCTGTTTGGTAGGTAGGTCACTCAGCTGCAAAACAAAGACTTAAACAGGAGCAGTTTTTCTTTTTCACCCCGATAAAAAGGTCTATTAACACCTTTTCAAATAAAAGACCACACTTCATCGTAGTGCTGCTCATGATTTGGTAAGTTAGAAACCAATTCAGCAAACTTAAGATTTACAAAACTACTGGTTAATGTCAGACTAATGTGCTTTTTTTCTTGCCATTGCACATCTACTCACACATTAGAGGTACCTTTGCGTTCGCTAACTGAAGAGAAGAGCTAATAAGGACAAATAACCACTTACATTTTTATCTGTAGTCACATTCACAAGTGCAATGATTTCATGTTAATTTGAGCAGTATGAGACGTTAGAAAAACAAACAAAAAAACATTGTAAAGCTCTGTGGTCATCAGTCCACTGCAGAGGTTCTACGTCACGCTGTGAGAAATCAACAGCCAAAGCGGAGTTTTGCCAACAAATTTGCAGCAAAATTTGACAAAATTAAAAAAGTTCTCACAGTGTGATCCACATCTACAAATGAACCAATCAGAATACAGCATAAAACGATGCAATCCGCTAAAGTTTGTCTGCACAGTTTGTCAGCGCATGGATGATCAAAGCTGATAACCCGTCTTTCCTCTCTTTTGTTCATTTGTGCCCGAGCACTAAGGTTCACCACGCATGTATCTAGAGAGCCAGCAATGAACGCAAGCAAAAATCACATGCATTTCAAATTTCAACATGTGCAACCTCATATATCAGATCACAGGGTTTCATCCTTGAACCCAGGAAGACAATATAAAAAGCATTTTCCAGTGACCCAAATGACCCTAAACAAGGGGTCTCGAACTCCGGTCCTCGAGGGCCGCAGTCCTGCAAGTTTTAGATGTTTCCTTCTTCCAACACACCTGATTCAAATGATCAGCTCATCATCAAGCTCTGCAGAAGCCTGATAACGATCCTGATCATGTGAATCAGGTGTGTTGGAAGAGGTTAACATCTAAAACTTGCAGGATTGCGGCCCTCGAGGACCGGAGTTCGAGACCCCTGCCCTAAACACTTGTGTTAAAGGATGCATTTCCTTTTTTTTTCCAGATGCACTATGCCTTCCTGGATGAGACAAATATGTCACGGAAAAGCCTCTACATGTGCGCTGACTTCTCTTGTTGTCATAGTGGGCCTGCTGACATTCATAGTCATATATATATTACTCAGGAGGGGTGCTCTTGGAGAGGTAAGTAAAACTTGAACGCTATAATGTCAAACTTTACACTGAGCATGTTTACTACCATCACATTCTACAGGATTTAACCGTTGTATGAGATGCTCTCCTCCAAGTTATGTTTAGAAAGTGCTTGACACGTATAAATTGTAATTGATTTTGATACTGTTTATGTAGAATATGTCGCCATCTGCTGGATACTCTTTGACAAGGTTTTTTTTTTTCCCCCCTCATATCAGAGCCCCGCTCAGGGTCGAACCAATACATCCAGTGACATCGTGTTTGGCGACTGCACATCCAAAGCAGCAGTTCTGACCGATAAAGCCGTAATGCAGAAATGGCAAAGCTGCAGTATAAACTTCAGTCAGGCTTGGAACGATGCAGAGCGAAACGTTCAAGAGCCTGCACACCAGTACATGGAGAAACATCATTTAACAGCTTTATACATGTACACAAATTGGCTGCAACCTGTCAACCACAACGTCAGCTCTGCAAAACAAAAGAAGGCATCTGAATCCTGCCCGCTTTATCTTTTACTAAGTGAAGCCATTCAAATCCTGAAACACAGTCAAGTGACGTGTCTCAGCACAAAGTACAGAACAGACACTCTTGAACATCACCTGAACAGCTCCAACGAGCAGGTTCGTTTCAGCACCTTCATATTAGGTTCTGATGAGGAGAACTTTACGGGGAACGTTTCATGTTTCGAAGTACACTCGTGTTTTGGTGCCAATGTGACACGTTACTCTGCCTTGAAGCTAAATAACCAGGTGCTCATTCCTTCCTATGAGGTCTTTAAAGTCACTGACATCCAGACAGAAACGAAGGGATGTAAAGTCCTGTACAGACTCAGGAGCAACCTCAACTGTGTTTATGACAGAGAGAGCGATGTGCTGCATCCCATATCTGTGACACCAATGGAGGGGTTTTGGATCACATTAACCATTGCTTGTGTTATTACTGTTTCAGTTCTGTTACTCCTAGTTATTGTGAAGGTTTGCCGACAGACGACTGCTTTGCCTTACAGTGTTTCATCTGTGCATAGCAGCACAGCAATCGCACTGAGACCTGTGTTGGGCTGATACTGTGACTTTGTAAAACTTTGCTGTAAAACGCCCACATTTGCATACTTGCAAACTTGTATACTAACAATTTTATGAAAGACCATTTACTTTGCTTTAATGTTTGTCATTATTTTGTTACTTTAGTCCATTTCAGAGCTATCCATCCATCCATCCATTATCTATACACTGCTTAGCGGGGTGGCTATCCCAACTGACTCAGGGTGAAGGCAGGGGACACCCTGGACAGATCACCAGTCTATCACAGGGCTACACTTAGAGACAGACAACCAAGCACACTCACATTCACACCTACAGACAATTTAGAATCACCAATTAACCTCAGCATGTTTTTGGACCTTGTGGGAGGAAGCCGGAGAACCCGGAGAGAACCCACACTGCACGGGGAGAACATGCAAACTCCACACAGAAAGATCCCGGTGTCCTCACCGGGCTGTGAACCGGCGACCTTCTTGCTGCGAGGCAACAGTGCTAACCACCTGCGTCACCTTGCAGCCCCAATACTGAGCTACTATGGTGCAATACTACTTGCAAAGCTTCTGCTACTCAATATTTAATACCTGAGAGTTCAACGGCTGTTTTAACTCATTTATCAGCATTGACGGTCCAAAAGGATTAAAACACCATTTTTACTGAGATTTAGCATAACGCATATAGAGCCTACATGTCAACATTATAGCAATCACCAATAATAATACTGTTAGGGTTAGCATTTTAATCAGAAACCTGCCAACAGTTGCGTAGTTTGTGTATTCAGGTATATTTTGGATTTGTCTTGTTATCCTTTACTGCATTCTGCAATTTTGGGGCTTCACAAATACAATTTCTAGTAAGATGTTGTGACGATAATTTGAATTAAATAATAATAAACTTTATTTATATAGCACTTTTCAAAACAGGGTTACAAAGTGCTTTACAGATTCAAAGAGAAGTGTAAGGAAAACAACAAATAAGGACATTAAAAGGTGAAACACATAAAGCATGAAAGAGAATAAAACAATATAAAAAAAATGTATAAGAAGAATAAAACCCAATAAAAGAAGACAGTTAAAAGACGATAAAGGAAGGAATAAAACAGTCAGAACATAAAATGTACTGCCCTTGATGCGGAGTAAAAGTACACTCATAAAACAACTCCTGTAAAAGCACATGTGTAAAAATGTGTTTTTAAAAGAGTTTTAAAGGAGGATAAAGTGCTTGCAGACCTGATCTCCTCAGAGAGACTGTTCCGGGGGGGGCGGCTCGTACAAATACACATTAGACCATCAAACCAATACATCACTTAAAAAAATGAAAAAAATAAGTCATTAACTCAAATGCAATGAACAGAACATTGGTCTCGTGCAAGTTTTGAGAGCAAAATTGACGAAAATGTCATGAAAAAAATTCTAGAGGGAATGTTTTCATGTAAACAGGTAGGCCTATTTTTAAATAACGTTGTTACAGTTTGATTAAATGTACCAAACCATTAAGCTTTTAACTGCTTTAAACATGATTGAAGGTACTAGTCCTAAATATGACCCCCCTGCTCCAAAAAAATATGTAGCGTCTGTTCTTTCTGTAAGTGAGAACAAAGATTTGTTTTTTTTTTAGTGTCACAAGGGTTCATAAATGTGTGACAGCGCCGTCTCATACACACAGCAGAGCCTTCAAACAGGTACAAAACCATTAGAATAAACACAGAGATTCTGCAAGAACGACCACCCAATGTTTGGCACATTCGCCTGCATATTAAAGACGAAGGAATGTTACTCTACAAGTTCATATTTGTCCCACTCGTGCGCACATTCCTCGCTGAAATTTCACAACCATTTGCTGATGTAGTTTAGCTCCACTGAAAAAATGGAGCTCCGTCAAAGTGTCAACACATCACTGAAAGGAACAAAGAGGATGAAGTTTGCCAGCTACCTCAGCCCTCCACGATTAAAAAGAGAAGAAAAGTTTATCTTCTTGACAATGTTGTTTTAGTTTGTACACAATGACTCATATTGCCAGTAAGACAAACAAAAGTTTGACACAAAGTATGCCGCTGAGTAAGATCTCGGAGGCAGACAAGATTCTTACCTGCAGTCGAGCAGGGGTGTTGCCGTGCACGTACTCATTTGCAGGTCAAAGCTGGCGTTCGTAATGATGTGCGGGAGTCTTGGATCAGATGTGAGATTCCTTATGTCCTATTAACACAGTAGAAATTTTTTAATACAAACCAGACTGTATTAATTTAGGAATAAACTCCATAAGAAAATAAGAAACAGCCACAACAGATCATAGAATTAAAACTTGTCAACCACTTCTTGGCCTTTAGTATTTAACTTTTTCACTCGTCAGTCAGTGACCTTTGGCCGCTGCGAGACGTGATGTTTGGTTCATGACATGACCTTTAAGATATTCCATGATAGTTACCATTACATCAGCAAAAAAAAAACTTGACACATCACCACAAATGCATCATCAGCAAAAATATCACTGTATCAATACCATCACATCTGTCAGAATACCGAATATTGCAACACTGACATTCACTGTACTTCCTTGTTTGGACAAAGTGTCAGGGGTTGTCAGAGAAGGAACCAAGTGCAGACGCAACTCGCAGGCCGGTGCAAGTTTAATCAAAGAAACTCTCAGCAGGGTTACGAAGGCAAAACTTTAAATTCCATTTCAAAAAGGTAACCAATCCAAATATGAAAAACAAAAACAAAACAAAAAAAACGGAGAGAAACAATGATGCAAAACACAAACCTGGTTGGTCCACAAACACGGAGGTATCAGCAGAGTGGCAGAACCAAACAGGACCAAAAGGAACCAATTAAGGAGACATGGGTGAAACAGATCAAGGTAATGAAAAGGTAGGGGAAGGAGGAACAAAGAACAGAAGTGAAAACACAAGCAACACACGAGGAAAGGCAGCTTCAAAATAAAACAGGAAGTAACTAAAAAAAGCACACTAGACCAACAAATAGACACAGACAGAGACACGGGAGACACAGAAA